AACTCCTGGGCTCAAGCAATCCTCCTGCCTCAGCCTCTCAAAGCACTGAGATTGCAGGGATGAGCGCCTGTGCCTGGCGCTGGGATTTAAAAAAAAAAAACAACAGACTTCCAGTTCTGCCATTCATTGGCAGCTCATTGCCCTATAAAATGACATTGCAGAGAGAGGGAAAGAACAGCCTAGGTCAGCGCTCTCAAAGTGTGGTTCGAGGACTGGCCCATAAACTGTGTGATTGATGATCAGAAAAATACTGAAGCCGAGAGTAAGCACTTGGAAACGTTTATAGCAATTTGACATTGATGCGGAACCAGGTTACACACCTTGTTGAATGCTACAGATGAGTGTTGTCAAGCTAGTGCTGATACAAGTTACGCACAGTAGGACTACAGCTTGGTTGGCTTGAGGCAAAAGCCAACAAAAAAATAGTCCTTTACGCTGGAGTTTGAGCAGCACTGATCTGTCTTGCCTGTGATGCCTTCTGGCTGAAGTGTTCTCAGTCTACATAGAGGATCACATTGTAGAAATGCCTCAGTTGTACTGGCCACTTCCTTTGTTGCCTTCCTCTTTCCCCAGCCAGGATTAAAAGGAAGAGTAAAACGGCCAACATGCAAGTGCTTACAATGTGCTTACTGTGTCCAAGTGCATTCTCTTCCCGCCCCCACCCCCCAACATACACAGTTGGCCCTCTATCCATGGGTTCCACATTTGCTGAATCAACTAACCGTAGATTGAAAATATCTGGGAAAAATAGCCAAAAAAAAAAAAAAACAAAAAAAACAACAACAGGAAATAACACAAAGAATAAAAACAACATAGTACGGACTGAGGATCCCTTGTCCAAAATGCTCGAAACCGTAAGTGTTTCAGATTTTGGAATATTTGCGTATACATAGTAGAGTATCTTTGGGAATGGGATCCAAGTGTTAACACGAGATTCGTTTATGTTTTGTATATACCTTATAGCCTAAGGGTAATTTTATAGAATATTTTTAATAATTTTGTGCATGAAATAAAGTTCTTACTGTGACCCATCACACGAAGTCAGGTGTGGAATTTCCACTTGTGTTGTCACATTGGCACTCGACAAGTTTCAGATTTTGAGCCGAGCACAGTGGTGCAAGCCTCTAGTGCTGGCTACTCAGGAGGCTGAGGCAGGAGGATCCCATGAGGCTAGGAGTTCGAGGTTGCAGTGCACTGTTATAGTGCCTGCGAATACAACTGCACTCCAGCCTGGGACACAGAGGGAGACCCCATCTCTTTAAAAAAAAAAAAAAAAAAAAAGTTTCAGATTTTGGAGCATTTCAGATTTTCAGAATGGGGATGCTCAGTCTGTATAACAACTATTTATATAGTATTTACATTGCATTAGGTATCAGAGGTAACTTAGAGATGATTTAAAGTATAGGGGAGGATGTGCATAGGTTACATGCAAACACTATGCCATTTTATATCAGGGACTTGAGTATTCACATATTTTGGTCTCCACAGGGGTCTGGAACCAATCCCTCACCAGATACCAAGGAACAACTCTGTGTGTGTGTGTGTGTGTGTGTGTGTGTGTGTGTGTGTGTGTGTGTGTATAATCTCCTTTATTCCATACCACAACTATGTGGTTTAGATTCCTTATTATTCCCATTTGAGAGATGAGCAAACCAGGGCCCAGTATCACAGCTAGCAACTGGTAGAGCTAGATCGTACTCTGTAGTCTGACTTTAGAATCTTGCCACTTTTCTTTGTTATTCTGCTTCTTTGTTGTTTGTATTTGTTCTCAAAGAAGGGGAGTAGAGAATATTATTAGGATAATAGCAGGGACCCAGTTTCGGGGAAATAGTTTGGCATCAGAGCTGTTGGGGTTTTTTTCCTTCCTTTACGTTGGTTCTTGCTGCCACCACTGTGTCAAGACATACCTGGAAAGGAACCAGCTTTGGGTATTTGAAACTCAAACCTCACAAGAGGCACACCTTGGCTTTGTGTAGTGCTTTTTAACGTTAATTATTATAATACTTCATGGGATCACTGCAGTCGTCATCTGAGGCCCAGAGGAAGGCATTGTTCCTTCCCCACTGCGTGGGTGAGGAAATGAAGTAGAAAGCAGCTCAATCAGTTGCCTGGCCTCTTAGACGCCAAACGTCCCTATGTGCAATGTGCCATACGCAGCAGACATGCTGTGCGTGTTTGTTGTGTCGATTCATGTGTCACCCATGATGATCTACTCCAGAGTGTGAAGGCCGCATACATCTATGGAAAGGCAGACGATGAGACTGGGACTCTCGTCTTTGCACCACTGTATGCAGCTGGTACCTTCCCTCTCGTTCCTCTTGCCAAAGACTGTCAGCCTTCTTCCATCCTGTGTGTCCCAACGGAGACCACGACAGAAATACAGCCGTGTGTGCACAGCTGCTCTCTACCTGCCTCTGCCTGTCCCACTGACTAGTTCTTAGCTGTTTCTGATATTCTGGAAAATGATGTGCCATCTGCTGAGCCCTTGTCTCTCTATTTAAAGGGATGACATATTTTTATATAATTAAGAAGTTTTCTTCTAACAGTTTAGCCCCCAAATATGAAGATGGAAGTCACTTCATAGAAAGAAATACTGCATGATCTTACTTACAAGTGGAATCTAACAAAGTTGAACTCATAGAAACAGGAGAACGGTGGTGGCTGGGGGTGTGGAGGAAATGAGATGTTGGTCAAAAGATAACAAACTTTCAGTTATGAGATAAACGAGTCCTGGGAATCTAATGTACAGCATGGGTGGTGATGGTATGTTCATTAATTTGATGGTGGTAATCATTACACAAGGTACACATACATCAAATAGTCACGTTGTATACCTTGAATATATGCAATCTTTGCTTGTCAATTAAATATTTAAGAAATAGAAGTTACTTTTCCTGGCGAGGGAGGAAAGGAGAACCAGCAAGTTCTCCTGCTGCTCTGCTTTGGAAACTGAGGACCCTGCATTTTAAAGATGTCACTTAAATAGTTCTGTCAGCATTTGTACGTGCTCAGCACTGAATACAAGCTTTCTCAGAGGCTGGATTTGTCAATTAATGTGTTTAGTCCTGTACGGGACATATTCCTTTCCAAAGCCAGGAACCGAAGGTTATAAATAACAGGCCTAATTAAGTCCTTAACTGTGCCCTGGCCTGCTGGCTGCAGGAAGCTCGTTCCAGCCTCAGAGCAGTCTCGAGCAGAGGGAAGAGCTGGTTTTTGGCTCCCACGTACCAACCAGCTGAGCTGCTGCAGCTCTTCTTTCAACTTCCGAGTTGTGCTTGAAAACTTCCTGTTACTGCTGTTTTCCACCTTCCTGGAACACTCTCTTAGCCACAGGAATTCTGACCAGAGGGGAAAGATTTCTGGGTCTAGTGGGTGAGAATGACTAGGGGTCCCAAACACACATCTGCATTCTCTTAGCACATCTAGGAGACGAGCATCTTAAGGTCTTGGCTGTGCTTTGATGTGGTTGTGACCTCACACAACCAGAGCTGCTGCCGCCGAGATAAAACCAGGGTATCAGGAAGTGGTTTAGGGCTGATTCTGCTCCAAGGCCTCGGCCATTTCTGCTATTAGTGACTGATCGTGGGGAGCGTGGGAGCAAGATAGCTCCCAAGTCTGTCCCAGGGGAGCTGGGGAAGAGAGAGCCCTAGGTATGGATATCTTAATAGGAGACCCGAGTTTTGAGGTGAAATCTCAAAAAAATTGCTCTGAAGAGTGAAGGAAGTTTGATTTTTGTGAAACCATGGAGTGATAGATAAATCTGATCATTTTTCTGTAACCCAGAGGAGGGAGGTGGCCTCAGGGGTTTCTATGACCCTCACCATGAATTTCAAGCTGGGGTGGGTTTTAGCACAAAGGAGCCCTAGGCCACCTGAGGAGGGAGGAGTGAGTCCTGGGGCTCCTTAGTGTGTGCTAAGGTCGGGGAGAGGCCTCTAGAGCTGAGGGGAAGTGTTAGTGTGGTAGAGTTTAAAGTTTTGCTTTGTTGTTAGCCTTGAGAAAATTCAGCAGACAGCAATGTAGTTTATTCTCAGGCAAGTGGAGTTTGGATTGTGTAGATGTGGCTCTCCCCATTTTAATTTGGAGGTTGGAGAAATGATAGGTACTGCATAGGGGGCTGGCTGCCTTCTGCTGGGTCTGTCCGGACTACAGGCTTGATGGCTACGTCTTAGGATTTGACCCTCCTTAGAAGCTAGGGAGGATATCGAAGCTAGTGCTGGAAACCAGGAGGGGCTGGGGAATTGCATGAGGATTGAGCTGGAAGCATCCCTACCCTAGTGTGAACAAGGAGAGTAAACCGTGGAGGGAGTTTTACATTTACTCCGTTCTGCATTGGACTCCTTTAAATGCTAATACATCCATGTATTACTATTCAAAGAAGAACAAGCAGAGAATTCTTTACAGAATTCTTAGATACCTTCAAAAGGTAAAAATTGATTGTGGGGGCTGCTATTCTGGGCCCTGACCCATCGGTGGCCTCATCCTGGGTATAGTGCCAGGTACAGTTTGAAATGGGAGGTGAGAAGATACGTGGCATGGAGGTGAGCAAGGGCGTTGGCGTGCAGGGGGCGCGCGTGCCGTGTGAAGCGTATGGGAACAGGAGACACTGCGAACCTGTCACTTCTCAGGTTGAGGAGAAGTGAGGAGGAGAAGTGGAAATTGGACTCACTTGGACGAACCTCTTGAAGGCTGTGGACCTTTGAAGGCTCTTAGAACCACCGGGATGGTGAATGTTCTGGAATACGAGGAGAGAGACACCTGATGTTTTCCAGTTCTCTCGACATTGGCCATGATCTCAGCCTGGGTTAGAAAGCTGGACCTATCCAGCCAAAGGAGGGCAGAACTCTGTCATCACCCATATCTTACTCAATTCCTGCCACAGCCTTCCATCACTGTGGTTATTCCCATTTTACAGACGAGGAACCAGGGCTCAGGGGAGTCATATAACTTAGGTGCCAACGCTAACAAATGGTGGAGCTGGTGTTGGGCCCCAGGTGTATCTGGCTCCAAAGATGGTGCCCTTTCCCCCATGCTACGTGGGTTCCAGCACCCTCTGCCCCCTCGAGGGGAGGGCTCTAGCTTTCCTAAGCGTGGACAGATAGACGCCAGCGGGGCTGTGGGAGACAGCGTGGACCTTCTCTTGGGTCCCCATCCTGTCTCCCAGCTTCTCAGTGGCTGTGCAGGTGAGCTGTGGCTCTCTTGTTCTCAGCGCACCTGCTCTAGACCCATCTTACGCACTCGCCTCTCCTTCCCTCCTCACCTGCCGTTCTCTGAAGTTTGTTTTTTTATCTACTAAAATAAAAAATGCATTCTTTCAGAGCACTGGGGACTTTCCATTTGCCAAGTTCAGTGGCCTCTTTTCAGTCTTTACCCTGTCTCAGTGTTTTCTCAACTTTTTTTCATTTCATAGCTCATATGGAAACTGAAAACATTTGTCTGTTTGCATGGCACACTGGGACAGGCAGACGAGGTTGCTTGAAGCTGGAGGTGACCAGCCAGGGGCTCTGGCTTCCCAGAGGGCCAGGGGATCAATGGCGCTGCCATTCACATATGGCCAGTTAGGAGGCTCGGCCCAGCTGCTCACCCAGTGGTGTGTGGATGAGGAGACCGCCATCTTGAATGGGTTCTGTCATTGGTCTTGGGACCTGTCCCACGGCAGCCATGAGCTCCCCTCTCCCCCAGGTCTTGGGCTTATGTTGGCCTTGTACAGTCTTTGGGGGATTTTTTAACCTCCTGTCATCACGAGAGCAGACAGTGTGACACCTCCAGCCCACTTTCAGGAAGGAAGGTTAGGTAGAGACGTGTATTCTAGGGCCTGGGAATGCCTGACTCACACAGAAACGTACAGTCCCATCCCACGTGACACTCCTCCCATCACTCCAACAACCCGTATTCTATAATGGAAGTTCTCGTGAGAGGTTGGGAGCCAATGTGAAAAAATGCAGCTTTGTCCTCTATTTAGAAGGTTTTGTCTTTTGAGGTTTCATTTGGTGATTTTTTTTCTTCTTGGTGTCTTGTGATAAGCAACACCCAGCCATTAGCAGTGGCTGTTACCATCTTGGCATCCCTCAGACGCAGGGTAGCACGGCTCACTGGTATCTCAGACGCAAGGTAACACAGCTCATCAGTATCTCAGACACGAAAACTCAAACATGAGATGAGGAATGCTCAGCATTACTGGTCAATGAATGGATTGTCACAAGGACACTGTCCAAAGAGAAACAAAGGTGAGGAGAATGTGTGCCTGAGTGTCGCCTGCCAGCCGTCCCCTTCACCAAGCTGGGCGCCTTCACAAGCTGGTCACTTCAGACAGCTCCACCCTGGTTCCTTTTATTCTCTTTTTTTTAGTCCCCCACCCGCCCTCTTCCAACTCCCGCCGTTGTTGGGCTTCTCTGGCTCTGTTCTCTGATTCACCCCTCCTGCTTCTGTGCCCACCTTTCGTGGTGACCTTCGCTGAGTCCTTTATGGACCCCATGCAGGTCGGCTTCTCCATGAGCTGTACCCATGGGCCCTGCCCTCCTCAGCCCCTTCTTTTTTCTTTCATACATTTAAAAAAATTTTAATTATAATATATGCATAACATAAAATTACCATCTTAACCATTTTTAAGGGTACAGTTCAACAGTGTCAAGTAAATTCATATCATTATGCAACCAATCTCTGGAAATCGCTTCATTTTGCAGAACTGAAACTCTATCCCCGTTAAACAACTTCCCATTCTTCCTCCCCCCAGATCTTGGCAACCTCCATTCTACTTTCTCTTTCTCTTTCTCTGACTTTGACCACTCTAAGTACCTCATATAACTGAAATCATACAGTATTTGTCTGTTTTGTGACTGGCTTATTTCACTTAGCATAATGTCCTCAAGGTTCATCCATGTTGTAGCGTGTATTCTCCTTTTTGAGGCTGAATAATATTCCATTGTGTATGTGTGTTAAAATGTGCACATTTGTTCAACCATTCATCCACTGATGGACAATTTGGGTTTCTTCTACCTTTTGGCTGTCGTGAATAATACTGCTATGAACATTAAGTGTACAAATACCTCTTTGAGGCCTCGCTTTCATTTCTTTTGGGTCTATACCCAGAAGTGGAATTCAGCAGAATCATATGGTAATTCTTTTTTTAACTTTTTCAGGAGCCTCTACACTGTTTTCCATAGCGGCTGCACCATTTTACATTCCCACCAACAGTGCACAAAGCTTCCAGTTTTCCCACATTCTCGCCAGCACTTGTTATTTTCTGTGTTTTGGATGGCAGCCATCCTCACGGGTGTGAGGTGCTATCTCATTGCAGTTTTGATTCGCATTTCCCCAGTGATTAGTGATGTTGAGCATCTTTTCATGTCCTTGTTGGCCATTTGTATATCTTCTTTGGAGAAATGTCTATCAGGTTCTTTGCCCATTTTTAATTGGGTTGTTTGGGGTTTTTATATTGTTGACTTGTCTCAGCCTTCTTTGTGGAGGGAGGTTTCACCCTTCCCTTGGCTGCAGCTCCTTCCTTTCTCTGGTCTGTGGATCTGTCATTTGCTCTGAGCCCTTTGGTGGCACTATTGCCACCCTAGTCACCCAGACTAGAAATTTCAGTCTCCTTTCCGATTCCCTGTATGTTATTTCTCATGGGCAGTTGGTTGCCAAATCTGTCAGTTCAGTCCCCACCAGATTGGTTTAATCCATCCTCTCCTTTCCGGTGTGAGAGCCACCGCCCTGGTTCCAGGGTATCCCGTGCGATCGTGCCACTGTATAGTTTGGAGTTGACTCATCTCTGATGTCTGGTGAAATCTCAGGGTGTGGTGGCGTGGGCAAAGGGTGGCATAAAGTTTGAAGGAACATAGTTAATAATGTGATATTTTATATTTGGAAAATGAAAAAGAAAATGAAAATGAAAAAAAGTGTATTTTTTTATAATACATGGAATAAAGCCCAATAAAACATTCTTGACTTGAGGGGCTGTACAAATGACAGATTATCTTTTGTGAACAGCAGTTTACAATGTTGGTACTGATATCAACTAACAGACCTTTATTGAGTGCTCAATATATGCAAGGCACCAAGTGCTTAGCACGTGTTATCTCTTTCAACCATGACAACATCGTAAGAGTCTTATCACCCAGACAGAGAAGCCGAGGCACTGAGAGGCCTCGAGTCACACCTGGTACGTAGTCGATGGGGTAGTCAAACTCTGTCTGCCACAGCGAAGGCCTCAGAACACCTGGCCTTCTGGAAGGGCCCAGGCTCCTCATCCTCTACCCACTGCCCACCCTCCCCACCCCCAGTTTTGCCGCCTGCAGTCTCTCCCTACACCTTCGTGGGTGATTCCGAAGGTGGGTCCAGGTGTCTTCTCACCTGTGCCACTTGCATGGACTTGTGTGGACTGCCACTCTGGAGTGCCTCCACTGTCCTGTCCCGCTTCTGTCATCTTTACAGAATCGCCTTGGTGCCGTTTCCTCCATGAAGACTGATCCTCCCCGAGGTGGGATGCCCTCTCCAACCCCCTCACAGTGTCTCACCTTAGTGTCTGGACATGTTCCTCTTCCTTCCCTGCTAGACCATAGGTACCTCGAGACAAGATTTGCCTGTTGAGACCTAAGCACTTCGCTATTCCTCACTGACGAAATGATAAGCCAGGTATTGCCCAGACGGAGGCTCAGGCAATCATGAAATCAGAGCCGCAGTTTTGACTCTGAATTTTTGTTAGTTGACTAGAGTTCCCAACCCCAGAACAGAACCCAGGAATCTTTCCTCCATAAGAAATCCTCTGAGTCTGACACTCCAGCCTCCCTCTTCTTGCCGCACCCCAGTGAGGTTCTCTTTGCAGAGCTTTGCTGTTTCTCCTCACAGCCAAAGTTTCGTTGAGTGGAGGGGAAGACACGCTTCCCCAGTGCTGACATGAGCAGCGGGCAGGAGAGGGGTCAGGGGACAGGCCTGTGCGCTGGGAGTCTGTCCGTTGAGGCTGATCCCTGGACCTTTGCGGGGGAGTGCTCTGCAGAGGTGGGGCCAGGCACCCTGCTTTTCATTTCCATTTCTGCAGAGGTAACCAACAGTGATGGGTGGCTCGGCAGGGAAAGTGACTTCAGTCATGGCATCAGAAGAAAAAGTCAATCTTTTATTTTTTTTTTTCTCTTCCAGAAGCTCAAGTGGTTTGAAGAAGGCTGCTTTTCCTTTCCTCTCTTAACAGAAGATTTCCTTTAAGTTGCCCAGGATGTCTGTTTGTATCTTTGTGTCCAGCTCATCCTTGTCTCCTTCAAGTTTTGTTCTCGTGCCAGGCACGTTTGACTCCTCTTGCCTTGGCTGCATCCCTCCACTCCCTCCCGTGCTCTGCAGCCATCTCCAGATGGTCTGTGGGGCAGACGGCCAAGTGCCCTGAAGGTGTCCAGCTCCCTCAGGCCTGGCCTGCCCATTGGTGTCCTTGCCCTTAAGGCTTGGGTGTAAAACTTCCCTCTTTGGTCAAGATTGACTCCTGATGGTGACCATAGCCTGGAGACTTCGGGGTTCATGGGCCCCAGCACACAGCATACAAGACCTCGCTCTTTGTTGGGAAGCATCTGGCGGGTGGGTGTTTGACCCAGCTTTGGGCATGTTGACCCACTAGCCACCTTCAGAACCCAGTGGGGCACTTGAGTAGGAGAGAGAAGCCGGCTTTGTGCTTCAGGAACCACTGCGACCAGGGGGCCCTCTCCAGCTGTGTGGGATGTGTGAAACTCACCAAAGCAAAGAGAAAGCTGTGAAATTCAAGTGACGTAGTAGTGCCCTTTTGAGAAAGTCTTCTAAACCTCTGTAAGAAAAGCTTGAAGTACCCCGCTATATTTTTCTTCTTGTGTTTCAGATTCTTTTGACACACATAAATAACTTTCCTCCCATTTTCTCAGACTTATCTAACTCTAACTATTCGTTTTTGATTATCTATCTGGAAAAGCACGGACAAGTCTCTCGTTTATAATGTGAGGTTGAAAGGAGGAAATTGGCCAATAATCTTATTATTACAATTCTCTGATTAATGAGGAAAGGCATGATCAAATGTCACAGGTAATGGAATGGTTCACATGATCTGGGAAAACCTTCTTTTCTAGTTCCAGTATGGGACATAAGAGAATAGTGGGGTAATACCAAATACTGCTGTATATTCTCAAAGTGTGCGCACATTTTTAAGTATGGATAGGTAAATCCTAAAAGGAACCAAAGACATATGACTCTGAATTTCAGTGGTGTTTCTTCCTGTGTGTAAACAGGGAGGTGTTTCCCCCATGAGTCTGTGTTGTGCTTGGATGGGTTTAAAGATTGGGGTTAGGCTAGCCCCTTTTCAGAACTCCTCCTTTTAGACCTGAAAACTCCAGGCTCTGCTTTCAGATAAATGCCTCCAGAGGAAGGAATGTGTAGATGGCATTTTAATGTAGTATTTTGGCCTTTGACAAATGTGTGAGCGGAGGAGCTTGAGGCAGGAGATGCCAGTTACGTGTGCAAAGCACCCACGTGTGCCTCCCCTTCCCAGGTGCCAGCAGATGTTGAGAAATGCCAGGATCGGATGGAGTGTTTCAATGCTGATCTGAAAGCCGACATGGAGAGGTGGCAGAACAACAAGAGGCAGGACTTCCGGCAGCTGCTCATGGGGATGGCGGACAAGAACATCCAGTATTATGAGAAGGTAATGAGTGTGCCCGACAAGACCACGGTTTCCATGAGCTGGAGCCTTTCGTAAGGGCCTGCCAGAAATCCAGAGGCAGGGATCCTGCTAGTATCATCTTCTTCCCTTATTTGATCTCACTCTCACCTCCCTGCTTGTGCCCTTGCCCTGCCATGCTGGCTGTGGCGCCCAGTTTGGAAGCAGAGGCCCCCAGGTACACACAGGGGTTTCCCTTGCAAATGCTGCTGGTGGAAACAGCAGTTTTACCGTCCATGCTCTTTGGGCCTGGCGCCTGGTTGCTCCCCAGGGTCAGTTGGACCTAAAGCCAGCAGGTAATGCAGGATTTGGGGTTATTTTACACTGTCTTACGGTTCTGGATACAGGAGTTCTTCACTTTCATTGTGCCATGGGCCCCTTTGGTCATCTGATGAAGCCTGTAAACCCTTTACCGAAATACTGATTGTTTTTGAAATAAACTTTAAAATGCCGTTTTTTTAAATACCTTAAATAAAGGCATGTAGGATTACAAAGGAAAACAGTTTTATTCATGGATCCCCTTGATCTGTGGACCTCAGGTTAAGCACCCTGACACACACACACACACACACACACCCCACCCCCCACCCACCACAAACTACAGCCCAGTCTCCCCAATCAAGGTTTGCATTTCTGCTAATGAATCCCGATATTCCTTAAAGGCTTAAAGTTACAGATGAAGAATGGCCCCATCACAATTCAACAAGTATTAATAACTTGTAGACTCGAAATCAAACTGTTGGAAACACCACAGCCCCCAGCACGCTGGACAAGTATTAACTCGGCTGCCTACACCACGATCCTGGAAGCACGTCCTCATCCCAAACCAGAAGAAGCGATCTCTTTCGAAGGCTTTGATGGCTCTGGCTGCTGTTCAGGGGCAGCGTGTCTGCATCTTTTCAAGGTCATCAGTAGGAGGGCTCAGGAATCCGTCATGGAATGTTCCCTATTTGTCAGGTCTTAGGGAGGGACAGTTTGAAAGCAGAAGGAGAAGGGTGACGTGCTCCTTTTCTCACTCCTGTGTTTTTGGAGCCCCATAATGCTGGGCTGGCACTCGGCTGGGGGCTTTGCATGTGTCACCTTATTAAATTTAGCCCTCGCCATAGCACTGTCATATGGGTGTTATGATTCCCAATTTAAAGCCAAAGAAACCGAGGCTCCGCAAAGTTCGAAACTCTGCCCAAGGGTGCACAGCCTGTGAGTGACCAAAGTAGGATCAGAGTGGGCTCTGATAGGTCCACAAGTCTGAACGCTTCTGACACACTGGCAGCCTAGGGGACGGGCCACCTGTCCTCAGGACAGTCCTGCCTGCCCAAAGGTGGGATGATCACTCCATGTGAAGTCAGAGCCTCTTCTGTTTCTCTACTGATTGTGCCCTTAGGCAAGATGCCTTCTGTGCCTCTGTGTCTTCATCCGTAAAGTGGGCGTGATCCTTCTCCACCGAACGATTGTAAAGATAACATGAAATGATGGATGCGTGAGTTCCTAGAACACTCCTGGAACGTGGCGGGCTCTCAGTGTGCCTTCCCTCCCGACTCCCTCACCTTCCCTGCCCTGTTCAACAGCCTTCCCACTACTGTAGAACCAACTAGATCAAATGTCTCCATCACTCATGTCAGCAATTAATCCCAGCATTTCCAAAGCCCTGGACCTGGGACTCAAACCCGGTCTTATGTCTAAGCTTAGGTGTCCTCCCACTGCACCACACACAGGGGCACTGTCCTGGCCTAGTCTTGGCTCCTACAAATACTTAGCAGGTGCTTTTTGTGCACTTGCTGTGCACAAGGGACTGTATATACGAAGTTGATAACAACAGGATTCCTGCCCTTACGGCAGCCCCCATCTAGTAGAGAACGTGTGTTAAGGAAAACGCCCACAACTTCAGGGCGAGATAAGGAAAAGAACAGGAACCTGTGGGAGAAAGTACTAGAGGGGTGTAATGCAGACAGTGGGGGAAGAGGCAGGTGGAGTGGGCAGGAAAGGCCAGTCTGAGGAAAGGACATTTGAGTCTCAGAGACAAAGACATGGGGAACATGTATTCCAGGCAAGGGGAACAACATGTGCAAGGTCCCCGGGGTAGGAAGGAGTTCGGTGCATTTGAGGACCAAAAAGAAAGCTAGCATGGCCTCGATTCCTTGTGGCTGACGTAGGAAGACTCTTCCAGATGTGAGGTGATGGCCTAGGGAGAGGGCAGGACCCACAATGCCACGGACCCCACACCGCCTTCTGTCTGTATGGGCTTCTGAGTCTGACTTCTTTCTAACCTCAGTCACCAGGAAGGAATCAATTTCACCATCCCTCTTTCCTGCTTGACCTAAGGATGCCTCTCTCCTCCCACCCTCTCAGAACTCCTCCCCAAATGACTCAGGAGTGAATCCTCCAGCCCTGAGCTGCTTCTAAGAAAGGCCTCATGCAGTTCACCTGTCCTCGTTACGCAAGAGACTGCTCAAAAGGAGGATCGTTTCTGCCAAACAGAGTGCTCTTAGAGGACCATGCTGGAGTCTTCCAGGTTCTCAGCCTTTCACAGGATCCGCGGTGCAAAGAGATCGGCGTAGTGGAAAGGACGTCAGTGCGGGAGCCATGAGCTCTGCCACGTACGAGCTGGGGTCTGGGCCCGTCAGTTTTCCTGAGTCTTCATTTCCCCATCGATGAAATGGGCATGTGTGTAATAAATCATTCTACTTCATGGAGGAGAGTGCGGACTGTGATATGAATGGAAGGTACACAGCAGTGTTTGGACATAATACAACTCAAGTCCCCTTCCCCCATTCTCCCTTTTGGGAGATCCAGGAGTGGCCCAAAGAAGCAAAGCTGAGGCTGGCGAGTCGGTGGCTGGCCTGTTCCAGTTATGACGGACGTCCTTATGTAGGCACCACCCACACCTACAGCAGTGTCTCCATCCCACTGGGACCTGGCCTGGGGCTTCATCACGGGCTTCCTGCATGGATCTCTTTTCAGCTTTTTCAAAGGAAAGAATGTCTTCTAGTGAATCCACTGTCACTCTCTGGATCTGAGCTTTCTGGACTGACATGAATGCATTTAAGCCTTTTAGAGACACTGCTGTCTTTCATAAAGGTGGGGGCGAGGCGTTCAAAACAAACACCTGTCACCTCCCTTGTGTACACTGGTTGTGGATGATGCATGTGGGTGTCGTTAGCAAAGGTGACTGAGCAGGATGGTGATGAAAGGGTAGGTCAGAGCAGAATTACGAAGTTGACCCTGAAGTCTCAAACTCGATGCTGATACTCTGTGCACATGTTGTCGTTTCAGTGCCTCATGGCGTGGGAGTCGGTTATTCCTCTGCTGCAGGAGAAACAAGAGGCCAAGTAAGTTCCTTCTTGGGACAGAGACTCTTCTACCTACGCAGGGCACGGCACCCCATGCCGGAAGTCCCTGCAGTGCCAGAGAGGCGGCGCTGGGAAAACCACCACAGAAACATCTCTCGTTTGTATTTCTCCCTGCCCCCACCTCACCCCACAGTTGTTTCCAATTAGTATTTATTCCTTGGTGGATTCCGTGAGGCTGGAATCATCTCTCAGCAAAAGCAGAGCATACCTCCGGGTTGTGAAGGAACCTATTCGATGGAGCACTACGGAGATTTGAAACCGAGGGACAAGAAGAGCCCGCGGCCGGCATCCTGCCATTTCACGACAGTGTTCTCTTTGGGAACGGCTGAGTTGCCTGTTGTAGGAGAGAACCCAGATCCTGCTTTGCAAGGACTCAAAAGGAGGCAGGAGTAGAAGGCAGCGGTTGCTTTCCGTGGAGACACGGCGGCTCTGCAACTGACCTCTGTGGGCATTGACTTGTCTCAGCCTAGAAGGAGGTGTGGGCGCCTCCGTGGAATGTCCTTAATGTACAGTGGCCTGTAGCTGTGAGTGTGGCCTGCTGCCTGCTTGTGACGAGTGAGACCTGTTTTACTGTTTCTGTTTCACGTAGGGACATTTGAATCAGTGTCAATACGCATCCATGCTTGAGGGAGCGAGCCAGCGTCCTTGTCCTTATGCGATGCCTTCGGAAGCTGCAGGGGATGCTCCCTGAACTTGCTTCTGACACTAGAATGCAATAGATGGGAAACTTTGTGTGTAAAATGAAACAAAACGATGCATTTTTCTCTGTGAAGGTCTTCAGTGTTTTTCTTTAGCTTGTTAATTGTCATCAGAGCAGGGATTAGATCTGTTAGGGAATACCTATTGTCTTGAAGTCAGAGTAGCTCACCTGTCGGTGAGATCAGTGGGCATATACCAAACCCCACCTCCAGCGTCTGCTTTGTGCAATTTGCCTTTACCTCACCAAAAAGACCTAGTTTAATATTTCCTGCCATGTCCACTGAATGTTTGGGCAAGCTTTTGGTGAGAGGGCTGGAATGTTGTGTTATTATGACACAGTTGAGATTTGTAAACTCCATGTGAATGTTCTACATAAAGTGCTTTAACCCTTAACATTTCCTGGTCAGGAAGAGACGTCAGTACCTGGACAGGCCTCGAAGATGACAAGTGTAACAGTGAACTCTTTGCTTTTATTAATAGTTGAGCTAAAATCTCCTCAATTTGTAGCCACGTTCTTGGGGACTGCTGGCTGTGTTTAGAGTCTTCATTTCAAACTACTGCCAGGTTTACTTTTCAAATCACAAAACAGTCAAAAAGGATCTATCTTCCAACTCCTTGTTTTTCCCCTCCTGAAATGAAGCTGCATATGTCGTATTTGTGTTTTTTCATCTGCAGCTCATCCCTGTAAAACTATAAATCTGAGCCTAATAAGCGGTAGCTTTTAATGAAACAGCTGCGTTGAGACGCTGCTTCTCATGCAAGTTCACCTGCAGATACTGGCCAACACGCAGCATGCTGGAGTCACTTCATCCCACTTCTAACTGCAGGGTCGACCTTGCATCAGCCACAGCAGTGGTGCTGTTGGTGCAGCGGTTGAACAGCATAGAGAACAGTTTGGTTCCGTGTCATCGAGTTTGACAACATCGCAGTTTAAATGATAATTTTTACATCAGTTGGTACTTGCCTGTACTGTCAAACCCTATTCGTGCCATTCCAAAGTCCTTCGATGTGAATTTTCAGTTCGGTACAATTAGAAATGATTCATTGGAGCAGAAGGGTAAGAACAACCTGTCTACCCCCAAGTGGCGATTCAGCATTTCATTCTACCTCTAAACCATCGTGTCGGTGTGGGTATGGACGCTGGGTCTGACCTGACGCTGTGCTGGGAGAGTCAGGGTGTGTATCGAATAGTGAGCTGACAGCCCCCTGTTGCTATTTGGCAGAGGACACCAGACCCACCCAGCAGCGAATGCTCATCTTTGGGAACATGTGAAGCTTTGGCTTGTGGAGTGTGTGCTGTAAAAATGTGCACTGTAATGAATGCTTGGGAAGAACTGTGGAAGGAATTATAGGAAAACCAGCCTCTGACTACCTGCCAGTTGCCAAAGCCCAGACACTTTCCTAAGTAATGGTTCATTGGGAAAGAAGGCAGCATTTCAAAAAAAATTACCAGGTTCCTCGCTGGGAGATGGGGAGAGAGGGGCGTATGTTTGTACATTCATTTCCTGTCCTCATGGGAGGCAGAAGACTGGCTTTAAAGGGATTCGGGCACCTTGGGATTTCATCCTGCTCTATTTGTTCGGTCCCCATGTGATGCCTTGTGCTTTAAGACACCAGAAAGAGCCGGAACAAGGCAAACTTTCTCTCCTTCAGGCACGCTGTTGACAGCAGAGCCAGGAAACCAGTGTACATGACAGACTTCCTTGGAGAAATGGTCCTTGCAGAGAAGGGCCTCTTGTCCCTGCTTTCAGGCTGGCATCTGAGGGGCTGAGGAAGCTGGCCCAGAAAGAAGGGGACAATAAGTAGTCCTTTCCTACTCCTGTGACTCCCCCGGGCATTGGCCTCTTCGTCTGGATCAAGCACAGAGGAGACTCCCTAGGAGAAGTGTCACTCGGAGACTTTGGTGCCAAAGACTGCCCCATAGAGGTTTTATCACCCAATCCTTCTTGGCTTCGCAAAATTCTGGCCCTGAGATCACTGTCTCCTCTCTTACATTCATTTTTCATGAGGTTTCTGCTTGAAGGTGCACTTCACCTCAGGCAGAGGGACAGACGGCTTTGAGGCGTGAGCACATGGCAGTGGAATGGCAGGTCCCCCCAGCAACTGCCCAGGGCCTGGGAAACAAAAGCTTCCTTCACCCAGGTTAACAATCCAGGCTGAGGCAGGAGAGAGGATCCCTAGAAACTGAGCAGGTTTTAGAGATGGAAGTGATGTTTCAGAGAGCAGTTTTGATTTGTAGCAAGTACGGACACTGCTCTTCCGTATGAATATGGTAGATCCACAAGAAGATTCTAGGCTATTCTACTCAAAGCAAGGAACTGCTGCTGCTTAAATGAGGAGGGAACCTACTACCCAGCCAGGTTTGGTGTTGGGTCTTATCCTTTAATGAGGCTTTATAAGGATTCCCGGTGAACTTAAAGTGTGATTATGGAGGTGATTGGCTCGGTATTTTACTGTGCTGTTCATTCAACTCACCAGACACCTTTCTTTAGCCGAAATAACAAACCCGAGAGACTCCAGGTATTGTGGTGAATGTAGACTGAGTCTGCTTTCATGCCAAATTTCAGCCCTACCTGGAGTATGTCCTAGATGTTATTAAATCGAATGTGTTTTCTCAGTCACCTCCACGTGGTGAAATTAAATGCATACCTGCTGCTCACTTCTCGTGAGGCTGCCTTTTGTGATCAAAAGATAGGAAGTTCTGCTTTAGAGGATGGCATGATGACCCCATGGCAATCAGCAAGTAGAGTTTCTCTCTCGGGACGTAGCCCAAGGAACATCCTGAGTTTGTGTGACTTGGTCCTGCCACTGATGGCTTTGAAATCACAGGCACTGGCTCTGTTTTGACACCACTCATTGGACTGCGAGGCAGTCATTCTCTGTGCTCCATTCCGGGCCAGTGAGTGAGGATGGGGAGAGAGGTCAAGGGCGGCCTCCGAGGGCTGTGCTTGCCTCTTTGGCGTGGGTCTCGGGATGGGCTCGCGCTGGGCTCTGCTCTGGCTAGGTGGTGTTGCTGGCTGCCATGCAGGGCGGTTCCCCTCAGAAGTTAGACTGCCTGTGGTCAGGGCAGGGCGCACCGTGTGCACCCCGCCTTCCCAGATGCCTACTTTAAGGGCCTGTGGAAACTGGGTCATCTAATTATATGGCTGGGGTAACACTGCTTTGGCCACCCTCATTTACAAAATGATGACGGGAATTGGGATTTGCTGTCTCACTTTCAGAAGTCCTCAAGATGGCAACAGATTGGACACGCCCTCTCATTGCTTGTATTTTCCTCTGTTCAGATAGCAGATGGGTGGCATTTTTCAGTAAATGTGAGGCAAATGTTCTCTCCTGGGCCAGCCCTACAGATTGAGTTAGGTACGTTGGAGTTGTTCTCCTCTTCCTTGTGGTTTTTTAATTGAGCAAATAAACCCGGAACCCAGTTTTCCACCAACCCACCCTATAGGTCGTCAGGTTTTGTTTTAAGGATGTCTGGTCTCCCCGTAGTTACACATGTCGGAGTGTGTGCAGGGGCTGTCTGCGCTAGAAATGGTTGGGTGGCCTTGTTACAGGGAGATCGTTCTTTCTTAATCGTTTGTGTTTGAAATGCATCCTGGGTGTGACTGTCTAAACCTTTTTATGTGGCAGAAAAATATGTTATCTAGGTAGTTTTTGCTACTGTAGTCAGTCTGTAAATAAGTGCTTTGAAAAAATAGCCTTCACAAACCAATAAGAAATTTGTCTCGTATATAAACATTCTGTGTGTTTAGCACCTGAAAATCAACAAATCCAGAATTTAAATAATGCCACAGACTGTTAAAAGTCCAACCCTACTTTTTGAGAATTTGTCAACACTTTCTAATATGCCTTATTCTTTAACTCCTGTTTTTAAAATTCTGGGTAGAAAGAATTTTAGAGATGTAATCAGTTGTTCAGCTTAAACAATAGATATCTTAAATAATAGATAACATAGTCCTCAGTCCTCTTAAGCAAGAAAGTGAGGGTCGTAATTAGGGTTGCCTTTTGGGAGGAGAAAACTAAGTATTGCTATTGCCAAATGATATTTTTGATAATGTAAGGAAACACAGGGACCACAAAATTTTTTTTTGAAGTGTGAAAGATTAATTTAGTGCCTTTTGGCATACTTTTGATTTTAGAGAGTACAGTCTCAGCATTGACAAATCATAGATACAAAGAACTCTGTGGATTATGACAATATTACAGGTTGACCCTGATCCTGCAGAACAGCTTTTTAAGATACCGTGGGGGCCTCAGAGCAGCATGTTTCAGGTAGAAATCCTCCACAGGTTGAAATGCCAAAAACACAGAAACCCTATTACGTTGACTCACATAATTTAGTCCATTGTAGCAGAGCTTTTACGATTAAAACCAGTGATGAAAAGTATTGCATACGAACCTCTCCCAGAAGCACTGCTCCCTCTCCAGGTGAGCCTGGACTCTCTGTGGGTTGGGTCACAGCAGATAACACCTGTCACACCCCTGTTGGACAGGCTTGTTCACAGTCTTAGACCAACCTTTCAGTCAGAAATGATACTGGCAGGGGAAAGGGCTTTTTTCCTCCATGTGGAAATGAGGAGAAAGGAAAGTAGATTGCAAACAAAAATGTGAAATCAGCGTGGCAAAGCCATGGCTCTGTCATCTGGGCCTTCATGGAATAACAAACCAGCATCTCTTAATAGTCAGCACTGTTCATCTGGACACCCCTGAGGTTTCGGTCCTATCTAGTCGATCTCCTGTCCACTGCGCTTCTGTGTGCCTGTTGCTTTTGCCTCTGAGTTGGGAATGCATTGAGAGACGACAGACATCTATATATTCCCATGAAATAAACTGCCAGCACACTTTCTAACTTGTATTTTAACTGTTAAAGAAAAGATTTTAAAAACCTTTTGCTTAGAAGTATGTCCAAATTACGGACTGTATTTCTTATTTTTAGAAATCATTCTTTACGTTTAAAATTTTAAAAGAAAAAAACAGCCACCTTCTGAGATATTGATAGTCCTCTGTGTAACTGTTCTCTTCATGCTGCCATTAAGCCAAAATAAAAGCTGTGAAAAAAAAAGTGCTTGAGGGAATGTGTGTTGATAAGTGATTTATCTTTGTTTCATGAAGCTACCAAACTTTACAAAGAATATCGCCTTTTTGTCTTTGTTATGAAATCTAGAGATTGTAAAATGGGAGAAAGTTGTTTTTGTTGAATTTTTGATGCTGGCACGAGGTTTTTTGTCCACTTTTTTTTTCATATATTGGTGTATAAAAAAGTCTGTTGTTTACTATGGGATTAGTATTACATTTAAGGTAAACAAAAGAATTTGTATTGCTTGATAAAACTATTAGCTTGTAAATTTAAAAAAGTTTCTTTACCTCAATTAACTTAAAGTAACGGACCAATAAAACTATAAAAGATGCTTTCTCTACCTTGAAATCATGTTCTCATTTGTGCCTTTTAGTAGGACAGAAAAGAACACGTGTGCCTCTTTTTCTCTTTTCTGCTATTCTCTGAATACCGATCTGTTTGCATGCAAGTATCAGGACATACAGAGAAACAGGGCAAAAAAATTATATATGTACTATTTTTATTCTTCTTTACTCCTTTATAGACCCGTCGTCAATTTATCCTCTCCTGCATCTTACAAATTGACACCAGTTCGGGGAGATGAAGAAACCACCTAGTGTAGTAACCATTCATGGTTTGCGGGCAGTCGGACAGCCCAGGTGTTTATTACATGAAAGATTTCTTGCTGCCCCATCCCATAGCAAAGCCCAACAACCGGGTCAGGGCCAGTCATATTTTTGGTTTTTTGGGCTGCTATGATGTTTTTGAAGAATTTGTAAGGAAAGAGGAAATGTCTGTGGTTTATTAGAGCATTGCAAATTAGAGACCAGAGTGCTCAGTGCAGTTTACCTGATGAGGGTAATGCGTTGGACTTCAGTGGATTTAAAATGGTGCTGAACTTGGCTTGCTGATAGTAGACATCATTCGTCTAAGACTGCAGTTGTACAAAATGCAGCAAGGCAGAATAAGAGAAATTTGGGATCGAATCTCAGCTTTTCCACTTACTAGCTGTGTGGCTTTAGGTAAGTCACTTCTCTCTGAACATTAAGTATTGTGATCTTTGAAATGAAGACAAGCCTTTCCTGTAGGGTTGCCGGGAGGGCTAGCAATAATGTATACAACGCAGCTAAGTGTCTGGGTGGACACTCACTATATGAGAGTCCTTTTGGAAAGACTCTTCCTGTTGTTTAAATAGGAAGGATCAACTTAAATAGGAAGGATAACAATCCTTCCTGTATGCTTTGTGAATTTTTTTTTTTTTTGAGACAGAGTCTCTGTCGTCCCAGCAGGAGTGCAGTGGTGTCATCATAGCTCACTGCAACCTCAAACTTCTGGGCTCAAGCGATCCTCCTCCTTCAGCCTCCCCAGTAGCAGGGACTACAGGTGTGCACCACCATGCACAGCTAATTTTTATATTTTTTGTAGAGAGAGGGTCTCTTGCTCATGCTGGTCTCAAACTCTGGACTCAAGCAATCCTCCCACCTCAGCCTCCCTGAGTGCTAGGATTGTAGGTGGGAGCCACTGTGCCTGCCCGTGAATTTTTTCTTTTTTTAAAACAGAATATACCTTTTATTTTTCCTGTTTTCTTTTTAAGAAGATGATGGAAATAGGGTGCTGGAGGATTGTGGTCAGATCAAGGCCTGGAGGATAAATAGGAATAGATTGCAAAAGCTTGGCGAGAAGTGATAAAGGGAGGTGAAAATGAATAGCTGGATTTAAGAGATTTCCACGGGGAGGGGAACAGGCCAGAGATGACTTGGAGATTTCCAGCCTGGGAGCTGGAGATGATGCCATTAACCGAAATCAATCAGGAGAGAAATAAAAAAAAGACGCGGAAATTTAGGTGGTGGGGTGGGAGAGGAAGAATTTGATTTGGGTTTAGGTTTGAGGAAATCCGGGTGGAGATGTTGACTAGACTGTTGGAAATGGAGTTCTTGATCAAGTCCGTAGGAGTGGACTAGATTAGTTAGGAAGAGAATCAAGGGCAGGGCCTTCAGGAGCCTCAGGAATTAAGGATGCAGGGAGAGGAGGAGGAGGACCCAGGGAAGGTTTCAAGAACTTTCAGAAAAAGTCAGGCCTAATAGGAGAGAGTGGTGGTTCTTAAACTTGAGGGCTTGTGAAGCACCAATTGTCGGGCCCCTCTCCTAGAGTTCGATTTGAGTGGAACTGATTTGCCACCGAATTCTCATTTCTAACAGGTTCCCAGGTGACAATTATGCTGCCAGTCCAAGAATCACTGGGTTAGAACATCTGTTAGAAGAAATGGTGTCCCTGGGGAGAGCTGAGAGGTTTGAAACTGCTGCCCTGGTGACAGGTGGGGTTGAAAAGGAGCCAATACTTGGGCTTTGAGAGCCCACCTCAGGTTAAAAACCACAGGTTTATAGCAGGGTCAGTGTGGACAAATAAGTTTCTCTAAATGTAAAGAGCAAGCTCTTCAGGAGCAGGAGTGATGCGATTCATTCAGGTTGGGGGACTGGGCTGGGGCTGGGGTGGAAGGCAAGGAGTCAGAGGAATGAGTGTAATTAGGGAGGGAGGCTGGAGAGTGGACCATGATCTTGACCTCATCATTCCCATCCCATCTGCTCTGCTCATATTGCCTGTCTCAGTGAGGGGCTCTACCTCCTTCCCAGTGGCCTGAGCCCTAAATCTGAATCACTCTGGCCTCCATCAGTCCCACCTTCTGCAGTTCATCCGTCACCAGCTCCTGTGACCTCTAGCTCCTAGATATTTCTCCACGTGCGTCTACTTTTCTCCACACTCATGGCTTCTTACCCAATGTCAATCTGTCAGTATCCTGTGCCTGCTGTACTGCAGCGGTCTCTTGGCTGGTCTCCTTCCTGCAAGTCTTGCTCACTCCTTCCACCAATCCGTTCTTCTCAGTGCTACCAGAGAGCTCTTTCTAAGATGCAAATATAAGCATTCTGTGTTTCTGCTTAAAACCTTCCAACAGGCATCCCATTTACTATAAAGAGAAACGTTTTCTTCTTTTGAAAGGGATCTTTTATGTTGTCCCTCCTTACTGCTCTGGTCTCATCTCTATCCTGTCCTTCATACTTGTCCCTCCCTCCCTCCCTTTTTGCTTCCTTTGCATTGAATTCCTAAACCTGCGGACATTTTCACCTCTGGGACTTCCAGCATGTTGTTCCTTCGGCCTGGAATGTCCCCCAACAGCTGGCCTTGGTAACTCCTACTTATCCTCCCATCTTATCATAGATGTCACTTCTGGGAAGCCCTTGCTGCTCTGGCAAACCTGGTTGTACCCTTGCATTAGCATTTATCACAGGAAACATCGCTACCTGCTGTTCTTTCCGCGCCATCTGTCAGTACGCTCTGTTGGGCCAGAGATAGTCATGTCATGTCTTGTTCTCGCTGTATCTCGGCACCTTGCATGGTGCTGGGACCTTAGTAGATGAACCATAAAGTTTTGTTCATTCCCCGCCAAGGGCTCAGAGATACAAACTTTCTGAGCCCAAGTGCCCTGAGATTTAAATGCATTCTCTTGCTTTGTGTTTTACCCCAGTGTAAGAATGTCATGTCTGTAGTTAAAGAGGGAGTCTGGCCTGGGAAAGAATGATTCATACGCTTATACTATGAATGCCGATTTTATTAGGAGGTGAGTCTGCTTTTATAGATCCAAGTAAA